TCTCCCCCAGCTCTACGCCAAGCTGCAGGCCGTGAAGGCGGAGATCCAGGCCCAGCACGACGAGTACATCCGCGTGCGCCAGGACCTGGAGGAGGCGCAGAACGAGCAGACGCGGGAGCTGAAGCTCAAGTAGGTGGTTGGGCGACCCCCCCGCGCCCGGGCGCAGCCCTGTGGGGTGCGTGGGGCAGAGCTGGGGTGCGCGGGGCAGAGCTGGGGTGCATGCAGCAGAGCTGGGGTGTGCAGAACAAATCTGGGGTGTGCAGAGCAAAGCTGGGGTGTGCAGAGCAAAGCTGGGGTGCGTGGGGCAGAGCTGGGGTGCGTGGGGCAGAGCTGGGGTGCACAGGGCAGAGCTGGGGTGCACGGGGCAGAGCTGGGGTGTGCAGGACAAATCTGGGGTGTGCAGAGCAAAGCTGGGGTGTGCAGAGCAAAGCTGGGGTGCGTGGGGCAGAGCTGGGGTGCGTGGGGCAGAGCTGGGGTGCACAGGGCAGAGCTGGGGTGCATGGGGCAGAGCTGGGTGCACGGGGCAGAGCTGGGGTGCACAGCGCAGAGCTGGGGTGCGCAGCTGGAGGGAGCGAGGCGCCTGCTGACAGGGACAACTGACTGAGCGCTTCCTACCCCGCTGGCGGTGCCAGGAGGTGTAAAACATGCTTAACCCTGTTGAGCTGGGCGAGTGGCACGCCAGGGTATTAAAAAGTTGCTGAGAAAGGTGAAAAACCAGAAAACAGCAAAGCAGAAACGCGAGCGCAGCAGCAGCAGCGCGGGCTATGGGACGTTACGGGCCGGGGCGGTGGCTGCTGGGGCTGCGTGGCCTTTCCTGGGCCTGTTTTCACTTCGAGCGATGATCGCATTCATCGTGAAAAAAACGTGCCCAGAGGTGTGTCAGTCCTTTAGTTTTCAAGGTAAAATATTTATACTTTTACTAGAAACAAAATTTCCGCTCCAGTTTTGCTACCTTTCCCTCCAAACGTTCTAAACACCTCAATGAAGCGACTCATCGACTCGAAACACTTCTCTGCCACGGCTCAGTTTGCCCCCAGAAATGGGGGGGGGTGGGGAAAGCTTTGCTTTGGGGACCGTTTGAGCTTTCCGTTGTTTCCTGGTGGGGCGGCTGGGGGAGCGGGGCTCCTGCCCGGAGGGGAGCCGGCGGAGCTGCCCGGGCGCCTTCGCTCCTCTCTGATCACCGCCTTCCCCTGCCCCCCCTCGCCTCTCTGCCGGCCGGATCTATTGCTTCAACCTCTCTGTCTCCATCACGTTTCCATCTTCTGGATGTTCTCCCGTTTCCCTGTGTCCCCCCCTCTCTTCCTGACATTCCTTTCCTCTCCCTTTCCGACCTGTTCCCTGTCACTTGTCCCATTAACTCCTTCCTCTTCTCCGCCCCTGCCCGCCCCCTTGCTCCCGCTCCGTCTCTCTCTCTGCCGGT